GGTGTTATATGCATTCAATTAGAGTGATGCTATTGTAAACTGAATATCTATATGTACTTCTTATAATATAAATGTATGTGATGTGGTTTAGAGCTGAGAAGTTTGAAAGAGTTGTCTTTTTATTTATAAAGCAACCAAAATTCATGGACACAAAGCGTGGATTGTAGTAATTATTATTTTGTCGCATAACAAAAAGATAGATAAAAACAGGTTAAATATTCTTTAGGGTAATTTATATTTTTCTCATTTGAACTATTACTTTTATTTTATTTTATAATTTGTNTATTGCCAACTTCTAAGTACAAAGAATTCTTGTTGACAATAGCAGTTCTGCAGACATCTTGTTCGCAGAAGTCTATTACAAGCTCAACTTGGGGAGAGAAGGACTGCAGTCCACCAAGTCGCCCCTCATCGGATTCTCAGGGGAAAATGTGTATCCTCTAGNTTAATTTTGTTTTATTTTACTTTAATTAATAACGAATGTTAATTTTTTGATGATAAATGAATAGTTAATTGATTTGTATTGTTAATTACACATGTACATGTCAAAAAGAAGAAAAATAATTATTTATGACTTATGCTCCAATTTTTTTTTCTTTGATCGATTTTTTTTTCAACTATTTGATTACAGAAAAGATAAAATAAAGTGATATTAGACATATAATGGGAAGTTTTTTGGGATTTTTTTCTCTCATTTGAAAGATTTTTATGTTTATTATTGTTTATTAGAGTGACGTGAAATAAAATTCATAATTTAAAATGTAATGTGAGAAATTTTATAATTGACATGCATTGTACATGTTACTTGAATGTTTGCAAGAGGAAAATTAGACTGTTTCGATTTACTTCAGATGTTGAAATTGTTAACATATTGAGATGAATTGTGATGGATAGAAAGAAGGTTGATATTTTCTGGCATAAGAATAACCGACACAAATCAAGGAATTGTCCAATCTTAGAGAGATTAATCTAAGTCTAGCTTGATTATCAGATTTCTACCGTTTATTGTTCAAATAATGGTACATTTTTCTCAACTTTTATCAAAATTTTCTTATACCAAATTAATGTAGGTGATTAGGTTAATTAGTGTATCCAACTAATTTTCACAAATCAGCCTGACGACTTTCATTATGCTACATCATCTAATATCTCTCAAAAAGTTTGACATTCGCAGCATTATTCTTATTGTTCACACATATTGACCAACTGAATGAACCATCGAACCTGATCAAAAAAATGAATCATCGAACCTGATGGATCAGACTCAAGGGTCCAACTCCTGTTATAAGTTCAATTTGAATAAAGAGCCCAATTTAAAAAGATTCAATGGGTCTAGCCCAAGAGAAGTTCACACTCAGTCAAGCTCATCAGGTTGTCGAAGAGCTACATTACTAAGGGAGTAAGCAGGATCATCCAAGAGTCTTTTTCACGCCGTCTTGGAGGAAGTCAACCACCACGTCATCATTTGACCGGATCTTATGGGAAATGCTATAACTGCCTCATATGTTGAGAAGATAGCACCAGCTCCACTAAATTAGCTTTTTAGTTACTGATAAACCGCTTCAATCTATTAGGAGACGACTATAAATTGTAAGTTCCGCCAACACTTGTGGGACATCTCACACAATTGAGCACATCTGCTATCGCTCTCATCTCTCTCTCATTACTTGTATCTCCTTACTCTCCCTACACTTCTCAAAGTAATAAAATATCTAGCTCGTCCTAGCCCTTCATAGTGGACATAAGTCACGTTGACCTCCATGACGACCCGTTAGTGCTAACCATGACTATTGCCAACTTCTAAGTACAAAGAATTCTTGTTGACAATAGCAGTTCTGCAGACATCTTGTTCGCAGAAGTCTATTACAAGCTCAACTTGGGGAGAGAAGGACTGCAGTCCACCAAGTCGCCCCTCATCGGATTCTCAGGGGAAAATGTGTATCCTCTAGGATCCATCACCGTCGACGTAACACTCTAAAGCTCCACGATTATGGTGAACTTTTTGGTGATAGACTACCCTTTAGCCTACAACGTTATTCTGGGGCGACTCGCTATTAACACCCTAAGAGCTGTGCCCTCCACTTATCATCTGATCCTCCATTTTCTAACACCAAATGAAATCGGAGAGGTCCGAGGAGATCAAATTGTTACAAGAGAAAGCTACGACTCCTCCATGAAGACCAGAACAAGAAGCACTGCAAATAGAGGTCCTCGACCCGAGAGATGATGCCACATTGGAAAGAGAACCAGTAGAAGAGCTCACACTAGTGGTCCTAGATGAGGAGCATCCAGACAGAAAAAGTATATATTGGCTCTTCCCTTCCTGAAGATTTAGCCCGCCAACTTACAGATTTTCTTAAATGCAGTATGGATGTTTTTGTATGGTCGCATAAAGATATCGAGGGCATCGACCCTGGGGTCACCAACCACCACCTCAATATCGACTCTCATTACGAGATTGTTCGCCAAAAGCTAAGGAGCGCCACCACTGAAAGGGCACAAGCGATGGACAATAAAATGGGAAAGTTGATAGAAAACGAGACAATTAAAGAAGTGGCCTATCCAATGTGGCTATCAAATATGGTGATGGTGACTAAAGCCAACGAAAAATGGCACCTCTATGTTGACTTCACCGAACTCAACAAGGCATGCCCTAAAGACAACTACCTGTTGCCACGGATCAACCTCCTCATCGACGCCACTGCAAGCCACGAATTGCTCACCTTTGTGGACGCATACTCCGGATATAACCAAATCAGCATGCACCCTCCAAACCAGGAAAATACATCATTCATCATTCCGAATGGGACCTACTGTTACAGGGTCATGCTATTTGGACTAAAAAATGTGGGAGCAACTTATCAACGATTGATGAACAAGATATTTCAGTCTTAGATCGAGAGAACAATGGAGGTATACATGGACGATATACTGGTAAAAAGTCTTGTTGCAGTAGACCACATAGACCACCTTCAAGAAACTTTCAGTATTCTTAGGTCATATTGCATGAAGTTAAACCCTGAGAAATGCGCTTTTGGCATCGAATCAGAAAAATTCTTGGACTTTATGGTCAACGAGAAGGAAATTAAAGCGAATCTTGACAAGATTAAAGTTATCCTGGACATGAAATCACCCACTACAACCAAGGAACTCCAATGCCTTAATGAAAGAATTACAGCACTCAACAGATTTATCTCTAAGTTTACAGATAAGTGTTTACCCTTCTTCAAGATTATTCGAAAAGCCTTTAAGTAAGGACCCGAGGCAAAAGAAGCTTTTCAAAAGCTCAAAGTTTATTTGGCTACGTCTCCCCTCCTTTTACATGCTATGCTAGGTGAAACACTATATTTGTACATCTTTGCTTTTACATCGATAGTAAACTCCCTCCTCATCAGAGAAAACCAAGGAGGGCAAAAATATGTTTATTACGTGAGCAAGACATATCGAAGAACAGAAATAAGATATTCAAAGTTAGAAAAGTTGGTGCTCGCCCTAATCTACGTTGACTTCGATCGGAGTCTGCAATTTTTCTCTGACTCCGACTCCAACTCCAACAAATTTTGACTTCGATGGAGGCATAGGCGAAGCCGATGTCAAATTTTTGAAGTCTTGCACTCCTCTAGATTATGTCTAGATCCAAATAACATTATTGAAAATTAAATAATTTAATAGAATTATTGAATTAATAACAAGTCTTAATATTAAATGAGATACACCATCAATTCAACAGTGATAACAAATTATAAAATTAGATGAATAAATTATAATCCAATCCGTCTAACCAACCACATAACCACGAAATCAAGCATTAATTTCAGATATTTGGAGTCAACTTTATCAATTCATCCTGACCATTTATTTAGATCCTACGTTATTTAAAACTAAATATTTTTATTCGTCCAATCCATCTAAATAACATTATTCCTAAAATTATCCCTATCGAAAGAGACAGACAGCGGACCGGGTTCACGAAGGTTGTAGAAGGTTAGAGAATCATCTTCTTTACATTTGACGTCACAGATAATTTTGCTCAGAAGACACGCGAAAGTACCAGACTCATCTTTGTTCCTCCTATATATACCTTGCTCATCTCCTCCACTCTCATCGTGAAAAATCGCTCAAAGCATCTCACACAATAACAAATCTACTGCAAATTTTCATCCCAAACTCTCAATTCAAGCATACCCATAAAAAATGGCGCTTATTCCGAGCATTTTCGGTGGTCGCCGGAGCAACGTCTTTGATCCATTCTCTCTTGACATTTGGGATCCATTTGAGGACTTTCCCTCCTCGACCACCCTCTCTGACCTTCCCTCTTCAGCTTGTGAGACCTCTGCGTTCGCCAACACTCGCATTGATTGGAAGGAGACGCCGGATGCTCACATTTTCAACGCCGATTTGCCGGGACTGAAGAAAGAAGAGGTGAAAGTGGAAGTGGAAGAGGGGAGAGTTTTACAGATTAGCGGAGAGAGAAACAAAGAGCAGGAGGAGAAGAACGACAAGTGGCACCGCGTGGAGAGGAGCAGTGGGAAGTTCCTCCGGCGGTTCAGGCTGCCGGAGAGTGCAAAGGTGGATCAGATCAAGGCTAGTATGGAGAATGGTGTGCTTACTGTGACAGTTCCAAAAGAGCCCGAGAAGAAACCAGACGTCATGGCTATTGACATCTCAGGCTAAATGTTTTTATGGATTGGTCAATACGTGTTTGTGGAGTCTCTTAATTCAATATGTAATGTCACAGTATGTCTAATGTTTTTGTAAGTGGTGCTATATGCATTAAATTAGTGGTTTGGTATTGTAAACTATATGTACTTCTTTTAATATATATGTATGTGATGTGGTTTAGAGCTTTCTTTTTATTTATAAAGGAACCAAATCACTATCTTCACACCTTAATCTCAAGGAATTCAAACCCAAAATCAATCATGAACACAAAGCGTGGAGTGTAGCAATTATTATTTTGTGGCGTATTCATATTATTCTAATTGATGGTGAATGTTAATTTTTTAACAATAAATTTACAGTTGACTGATTTATATTGTCAATAAATAATTATTTATTGCACATGTGCATACGTCAAAAATAAGAAAAATAATTATTCATGACTTAAGCTCCAAATATTTTTTTTTCTTTTGATCAATCTTCTTTTTCAGCTATTTGATTGCAGAAGAGGTAAAATAAAGTGATATTTAAGCACATAGTGGAAAGTTTTTTGGGGTTTTTCTCTTTTTTTTTTGAAAGATTTTAAAGTTTGCCGTTATTTATTAATGTGAAATAAAATTTATATTTTAAAATGTAATGTGAGAAATTTTATAATTAAGAGTGTAAAGTGAAATAAGAATAACAGTTAGGTTATTTGTTCAAGAGAGTAAAATATAATTTACTCTATTTTTATATCAAGGACTACTAGCTAGTGAATAAAAAAAATTGAATGGAATGCCATACTTTTGCCTAAGCTTTTCAATCAACCAATCCTTATTTTAGGGGCGCCTTTTGCAATCACATTGCAATTTCTCATTAGGCAGAAAATTGTTGCACCGAGAAAAATCGGGTAATTCATTTTGACATTTATTGTACATGTTACTCGAATGTCTACAAGAGAAAAACTAGACTGTTTTGGTTCCCTTCAGATGTTGAAATTGTTAACATATTGAGATGAATTGCTATGGATAGAAGGTAGACATCTCCTAGCATGAGAATAATAGACACAAATCAAGAAATTGCCCAATCTTAGAGAGATTAATCTAAAAGTCCAGCTTTGGTTATCTGATTTTTACCGTTTGTTGTTCAAATAATTGTACATTTATCTCAACGTTCATCAAAATTTTCTTATACCAAATTAATGTAGGTGATTAGGTTAATTAGTGTATCCCATTAATTTTCACAAATTAGCCTAACGACTTTCATTATGCTACGTCGTTTAATATCTCTCAAAAAATTTGATATTCACAGCATTGTTCTTACTGTCCAACACATATTGGGCAACTGAATGAACCATCGAACTGACTCCGACTCTATAAGTATTCACAATTAATCCAATAATTACGATGAATTAAATCTAACTTCTTATTTTCGACTCCGACTCTAGACGGAATGATTTTTTGCCTCCGACTCTGACATACAATGCCTGCAATTCCACTTCCGCTACGATTCCAATTAATGGAGTCGGATTGGAGTTTTCAGAGTTCCCCAAGAAAAAAAAATAGGCTTTTTCGAAAAAAATTTGAGTCCAAAAATCGTCATAAAAGAAGCAAATGCATTGCACAAAGATTAATCAATCCAAAATCACCCAAATTCGTTAAAATGGATAATAGATTTTGTGACAGCCCGTATATAAATTAATCATTTAATTAGGTCATCAATTATGATTATATATAATTAAGGAAAATTTTTAGAAATTTCAAATAAATAAATGGACTTCAAATATGAATTTTTTATGTGAAAACGGATCGAATAACTATAATATAAGTCATATTTTGAGTTAAAAATAATGTGTTATTCCAATGATATAATAAATGTGTAATATATTTATATACACTTACATATATAAAAAAAAATACACATGCATATATATAGGTGTCCAAATATAAGAGTAGAAGTCAATTAACTTGTGCTCTATTTCAAAAAAAGAAAACAAAATAAAACATATGGCCAAACCAATGGACAAATGTCCATGTGATGCAAACATATGAGGTCACCAAAGTGACGTTGGAAGCCAAGAATTTGGCTATAAATAACCACGAAGCCATGGCCAAAACGTAGAGCAAGAAAAGAAAGAGAGAAAGAGAGAGATAAATTAATGAGATTTTGAGTCAAAAATTAAATAGCGAATACTTTTGATCATTATCTTGTTTGGGAAATTTCAAATTTCATATCTATTTAAGTTATTTGATGTACAGGATAGTATACAAGATGCTTCTATATTTTAAATCTCTTTGCAAAGAGTATTCTTTAATTATGTGAAATTTGTATTTTTATTAATTATTCTGATTGATACAAAATTCTGTCAATTTTATCGGTCGGCCAGTACATGGGGCTAAATACTCTAGAATTAATTGGTACATGTACGAAGTGTACTTGGGACATATTTAGTGAAATATGATTATAGCCCTGTAGGGTGCGATTGTGATTACAACCCTGAGGGGTGTAATAGTTCGATATAAGTATGAAATTTAAATGTCCAAGTATTATTTGTTATGTCACCAAGAAAAATCGAGTGTGAAGCTATATTTGATAGAAATTGAGCTATGTGACTTGTCAAATGTGATTCTTGATTATGATATGAATTATTTAGTATTTGATCATTCATATTTTACTCGTTGAGCATATTGCTCACTACAAGAATAAGGGTCTTTTGTGACAAATTTTTTACGGCGGCTATGTTTAATGTCATAAAAGACGTATTTGAGACAATTTTTTGTGACGATTGTATTTGCCGTCACAAAAAACGTGTTTCTATTAATATTTGTGGCAGTTATTTTTTCTGTCGTAAATAATGTCATAAACTCAAAAGAAATTTGTGTATTTAAGACATCTGTTTTTCATGTCTTAAATAATATTTTATAAATTCAAAAGAATTTTTTATATTTATGACAGCTACTTTTTTCATCGTAAATAATATTTCATAAAATATTAAAATGTTGTTTTTGATTAAAAAATATTTTATAGCCTAAAGAAGAAAAACTCTAAAAAAAAATTTGTAGTAACAACAACTATTTTTCATGTTACAAGTAATATTTTATAAATTTACGTTGTTTAACATCAAAAGATAATTTATAGTTTAAAGAAAAAAAATTAAACTCTACAAACTCAAGTTTTTATATCAAAACTATGGGTGCCAAAATATGACACGATCTGTTAACACGACATAAAATTAGTGGGTTTGAATCTTCCTTAAGCCACATGTTTAGTAAATTAGTGGACCCGTCACAATACGATTATAAACGAATCAGGTATTGGTGAAAACAGTTAGAAGAAATGTATAAGATATGACTCGTTTATATACTNTGTGAGAAATTTTATAATTGACATGCATTGTACATGTTACTTGAATGTTTGCAAGAGGAAAATTAGACTGTTTCGATTTACTTCAGATGTTGAAATTGTTAACATATTGAGATGAATTGTGATGGATAGAAAGAAGGTTGATATTTTCTGGCATAAGAATAACCGACACAAATCAAGGAATTGTCCAATCTTAGAGAGATTAATCTAAGTCTAGCTTGATTATCAGATTTCTACCGTTTATTGTTCAAATAATGGTACATTTTTCTCAACTTTTATCAAAATTTTCTTATACCAAATTAATGTAGGTGATTAGGTTAATTAGTGTATCCAACTAATTTTCACAAATCAGCCTGACGACTTTCATTATGCTACATCATCTAATATCTCTCAAAAAGTTTGACATTCGCAGCATTATTCTTATTGTTCACACATATTGACCAACTGAATGAACCATCGAACCTGATCAAAAAAATGAATCATCGAACCTGATGGATCAGACTCAAGGGTCCAACTCCTGTTATAAGTTCAATTTGAATAAAGAGCCCAATTTAAAAAGATTCAATGGGTCTAGCCCAAGAGAAGTTCACACTCAGTCAAGCTCATCAGGTTGTCGAAGAGCTACATTACTAAGGGAGTAAGCAGGATCATCCAAGAGTCTTTTTCACGCCGTCTTGGAGGAAGTCAACCACCACGTCATCATTTGACCGGATCTTATGGGAAATGCTATAACTGCCTCATATGTTGAGAAGATAGCACCAGCTCCACTAAATTAGCTTTTTAGTTACTGATAAACCGCTTCAATCTATTAGGAGACGACTATAAATTGTAAGTTCCGCCAACACTTGTGGGACATCTCACACAATTGAGCACATCTGCTATCGCTCTCATCTCTCTCTCATTACTTGTATCTCCTTACTCTCCCTACACTTCTCAAAGTAATAAAATATCTAGCTCGTCCTAGCCCTTCATAGTGGACATAAGTCACGTTGACCTCCATGACGACCCGTTAGTGCTAACCATGACTATTGCCAACTTCTAAGTACAAAGAATTCTTGTTGACAATAGCAGTTCTGCAGACATCTTGTTCGCAGAAGTCTATTACAAGCTCAACTTGGGGAGAGAAGGACTGCAGTCCACCAAGTCGCCCCTCATCGGATTCTCAGGGGAAAATGTGTATCCTCTAGGATCCATCACCGTCGACGTAACACTCTAAAGCTCCACGATTATGGTGAACTTTTTGGTGATAGACTACCCTTTAGCCTACAACGTTATTCTGGGGCGACTCGCTATTAACACCCTAAGAGCTGTGCCCTCCACTTATCATCTGATCCTCCATTTTCTAACACCAAATGAAATCGGAGAGGTCCGAGGAGATCAAATTGTTACAAGAGAAAGCTACGACTCCTCCATGAAGACCAGAACAAGAAGCACTGCAAATAGAGGTCCTCGACCCGAGAGATGATGCCACATTGGAAAGAGAACCAGTAGAAGAGCTCACACTAGTGGTCCTAGATGAGGAGCATCCAGACAGAAAAAGTGTATATTGGCTCTTCCCTTCCTGAAGATTTAGCCCGCCAACTTACAGATTTTCTTAAATGCAGTATGGATGTTTTTGTATGGTCGCATAAAGATATCGAGGGCATCGACCCTGAGGTCACCAACCACCACCTCAATATCGACTCTCATTACGAGATTGTTCGCCAAAAGCTAAGGAGCGCCACCACTGAAAGGGCACAAGCAACGGACAATAAAATGGGAAAGTTGATAGAAAACGAGACAATTAAAGAAGTGGCCTATCCAATGTGGCTATCAAATATGGTGATGGTGACTAAAGCCAACGAAAAATGGCACCTCTATGTTGACTTCACCGAACTCAACAAGGCATGCCCTAAAGACAACTACCTGTTGCCACGGATCAACCTCC